ACCTTCCACTGAAGGCGTAGTGGGAGATCCCATTAGAAAATCAACTCTAATTAGGTATCCACTGCATAATTCTGCTTAGAATAATTTATACCACAAATACATGTATACACACATGCACACACATCCACACACACATACTTGGTTTGGATCAGTGTGTATGAGACTAAAATTTAACTTGATCTGTATCTTTGGCCAGTGTTCAGATCGATTTGCTCTGTATTAGTTTGGGTCCAGCGTTCCATGATCCATGCCCTGGGCCTCAATCCCATCCAGACCCCTGTTGCTGGTGCAGGAATTCTCTGTGTTCCTATTTGATTCAGTGGTCTTTCAAGATCTTTGGGCCTAACATGCATGCTGTTCTTAGTGCTGCCCACTTAGATGAAGGCCCACATTTTCTAGTCCTAAAGTAGACCAAAGTCTTTGATAGGCAGTTTGAGAACAGTGATTCATAAGAAGTGAAGACCCACAAGGTCAGAGACCCTGGTCCTCAGGAGATTCTGACTCTGCCCCTATCAGGGCTCTCATTTGGTGAAGTGATTATTGACCCAGGTATGGATGAAATCCCACATAAATAAAATTTTATTTCCTAATATGCTTTTTACATTTTTTTTTTTCATAGAGATCTTCCTAGCCTTAACCATCTTGTGGCCAGATCCTGTCTTACTCAGTTCTGGTGAGTAGTTTGTAGCACTTGATGTCTTTCTGTGAGTAGAGTTTTCATTTATTTGTTATTTACCCAGGGCTCGGAGGTACCAGCGGCCAAGTTGCCTTTGTTGTGTGGTCTGAGCCAAATGGGAAGGCAGCTGGTACTGTGCACTGAGGAGCATTTGGACATCTTACTACTTTTCTCCAGTGAGAGGTCACTAAATTATGCATGTCCCACATATTAGGTTGGAGAAGCCTGCCCGGATATTGAATAGGCTCCCTCCGGTGGTTAACCAGGCTACTAATCTCTGTATCTCTCTTAGAAGAAGGGGTTTCAGTGAGAGACAAGTAATGTTTACTTTGGGGGAGGACTTTCTCTGTGGTCTTGACATCTGTAAGGCCAGAAAGGTTTCTTTTGGGAAGTCTCTTGGACTTGTTTTAACAATCATCTATTTTCTAAAAGTCAAACATTTAGTAAGAGGTGTTAACTAAAACGTCATATGTATAATTGATAAAGGCAGTAACTCTGTTGTATGCCAAGAATGTCATTTTAACAATGTTATGATTTAAATAGTAGGTGAATTTGTTTCCATTCCAGTAAAAGTGAATTGATTTGGGAGATTTTTTTTTTTACAGATGTAAAAGTGAAGCTTGGCCTCCTTTGTGTATCTCTATTCTCTATAGATCACAAGTCATGGTGTATTTTGGTGAGATACTTGCCTTCGTAATTAAGATAAATTCTCTGAGACCGTAAAAAAGATTTGGATACTAAATTATCCTTTCAGGGAATTTGTGTACTTGTCCTCCTTTAAAGTTATATTTCTTCGCTTAAAAGTCCACTTAGGATATTAAAAAAAAGTGAAGAGCATAGTGAACAATTAGTTGCTTTATGGTAAGAGTCACATGGACGGCTCTTTTAAATTAAAACTGGGTCAGGAACTGAGTTTGCCACCTTGGGAACAATTTTATGGTTAGAGTAGAATTTTAGGCAGGAGCTGTAAGGTTTCTACATGGCCACAAGGGGGAGACAAAGAGCAACATAGGTGACCACAGAATCTACAATGTCTGAGGCTTATTCAAGATAAGCCTTTAATTCCCTTTAGCAATGCTTGTTATTTCATTTTACCAGTATTTTTCAAAATTAGGAGGTTTGGTGGTTTAGTTTAGTGTTACTAACCGTTAATTCTTTAATTTTTTTGAAATTAATTGCCCATTTTTCTAGTAAGTCAGTGGCTATATTGTGCTCAGGGGAGAAGATACAGGTAGGGTCCTTTTAAATCTTTAAAACTTCAAAGTAGCCATTACTTGTTTAAACAATCATCTATTTGATAAAAGTATAAAAGTACCTTCCCTAGAGTATCCTAGGTGGTATCCTTCCTTTGACATTTATACAATTTGCAAGGAATTCAAGTATTGCAGATATTGGATCTATTACCCATAAGAATGTATATAACCCGTTGTCTAGTGCTCTCAACACATAGGGATGGAAGTTGGTGTATCTTTAAGAGTGAGCAAAGAACACTTGGATACAAGTCCTGTGTTTAAGACAAGCTTCTTCTAGGACTCCATCAAGTTGTTATTTTGAAACATGCGATCTTTAAAATTGCCCAGACTAGTTAGGACAAGGTCTTGTTAATGAAGAATGTGTGCCTTGCCTGAATGAACCTTACTATTAAGAAATTCCTTTTTGAGTAGCTTGAAATAACTGACTTGGATTTTGGCAGTTTGGATCTGGTCATTTTGGGTTCCAGTAGCCAGCCACACACAGTTTCATGTAAATAGAGTTGCAAGTTGTGGCAAAACCAGTAAGTGTATAGTTATTTTATTTTGGCTAAAAATGTGGGCTTCCAGAGTCTAACTTCCAGGGTTGGAAATGTGGCTTCACCACCTGCCAGCTCTGTATCTCTGCTTTTTTCTCAGCAAAATGGAGATAGTAACAATACTTGCTCTGCTGTGAGCATAAAGAAGTAAAAAGCACTTAAGATAGTTCCTGGCAAACAGCATTTATTAATGATTCACTAGGCCTTCACTGGCATCCTTGGGAGCAAATGGAACCTGGGACATAGAATCCCTCTGAGGTCGCAGTCATGATTTAACTGGTGAACTCCAAGCAGCAGAGCCTGTGGCCCTCTGTGGGAGGGGACAGAAGGGCTGTGACTGCCACTGGAGAGAGGATGGGAAGAGCTAGGTTTTGTCTTTGTCTCCGTGGCAACCTCTTAATCTGGCATCTGCCCCTCCGTACATCATGGTTAAGAACACCAGTTCTGGAGTTCAATCGTCTGGGTTTAAAACCTTCAAACCCTACCTAAAGGGAGGCTAATCATGTGCTGACACAACCGGAAAATCAGGTACCAATACCTTTTTGGAAATTAAGTTTGATATGTAACAAAAATTGAACAGTGAACAAACATGGGATTAATGAGAACTTTAACTTCCATTTTATAGGTGAATTTTTATTTAAATTGTAAATCATTCATGGATGGTAAGCTGCTCAACTTTATCATTACTGTGGGCTTCAGTCCAGCCCTGACTCTTCCCCTTGTTAACTCTGTAGCTTCAGTAGTTATTTAATATCCCTAGGTGTCCGTCTTCTCATCTGTGAAATGGGGATACTAGCAGTACCCACAAACAGAGGTCTGTTGAGAAGATTCCACGAGAAACTAATAGAAAATAGGTCACCCACTGCCTGGAACATACCGACCGCTCACTCTCTGTTAGGTGTCACTACTCTTCTTCCAATTCACAAACAGTTTTTGAGCACCTTTCATGTGAAAAGCTCCTGGCAAAGGACACTAGTGAACTAAAAGGGAACTATCCCCAAATTGGGAGGATGATTCCTGATGGGATTCAGATAGACATTCCCTAGATCAGTCCTCCTGAGGAGCCACCCTACTTACAACAAAGCCCATGGAATGATATGCGAAACAACAAAAGTCTGATCTAAAAGCAAGCTAGAGAAAAATGGCTAGGTATACACCCCATTCTTCCTGGAAGCAGGTCTCCAAGCGGAACTCCACCTACCTAAAGAGTTTGGGATGGGCTGGAGTGAGATCATGAGGAAGCTGAGGGGAGGCTGGGTTGTGGGTTAATGAGGTGACTGTGGGTTATTGGTTGGCTGCACCCAGTAATCCTGCTCCAGAGTGAAGTATGTCATGAGCATGGACCTCCAGCACAGCTGCCATTGGCAACTGGCAATGCCTGGATTCCATGGCAACCAGAAGAGTCAGTTGCATGTTTTCTGCTAAGAACAGGCTTATGGACTTTGTAGGGGTTGCTAAAGTGACTTTTCCCTTTGGTTGAAACAAAAGTACAAGAAGATGGAACTAACCAAGAAGACCAAATCCCAGTGGCTTTGTGACATTCAGTCTGAGTTCACACCACCTCTTTTGAGTTTATGTAGTTCTTTGGGTTAGGTTGTACCCGAGAATCCTTCTGCAGGCAAGTGCAGGGATAGAGGATGGGCTAGGATCTCAACAGCTGTCACTGATTCCGTGTCTGGGAACAACCCTGGTATCATTAAATACTCTTGCACAGGACTCAATGCCAAGTTCCAAGGTGGGCAGCTCTGAAGGGAGATTCAGTTTTCAGGTTGTCCACACTAAACTGGGCCAACAGGCCACTATGAGACCTGGTGAAAGCTACAGAATGCCCACATGTGTATGCACGTGGGGGGTGCACAAACATGTTACCATTAGCAAACAATAGATTTTATCCTCATGTTATGGGTAAGAATACAGAAGCATAGAGAGTGTAAGTGATTTTTCATAAAACTGAACTGGTTCAGGGCTCTCTCCTCTATACCAGCCTGTTTATCTTGCTATTAGAAAACTTCTCAAAGCATAAGAAATCAAGAGCCTGTTCAGGGCCAGCAGGGGTGAGAGAATGATATCAGATCACTATGGTAACCTATGGTCTTTGGAACTACCAGTCAAAAATAAAAGCCAAGGGCCTGCAGGACCTCAAGAGGCCAAGAAGAAAAGTCCTCTGCTGGAGGATGAGGCTGGTGAGGCAGGTCTCCTGGCGAGAGCAGCAGCTTGAGCAGAGAGGCAGCAGAAGCAGCACAGGAGTATTTTCCTACAGAAGCTCATTCCATTCTGTCTTATGACCTTAGCCGCCTTCCTGAAGACAGGGCAGGAAGCAGGATTCAGGCCCAAGGTCCTCGGCCCCGTAGCATGGCTGGTCGAGCCATCATTCCTCCCCACCTCCTGCTTGCTGCACGTCTTTTACACCTTAGTCTGAATGTACAACTGCATGGGGTTTTCCTGCCATGGAGGCAGACAGGCCAGGCTATCAGCCACTTCCTTCTTGACAGGCCAGCCCCAGGCCTCAAAGAAAGGAACCAGATTTTTTTGCACCTTTTCTGAGAATTTCTTCACCCAGAGATTCATCTTGCCAGCATTGTCACTGGGGACTCCAGATAGGGTCTGGTACTCAGCGAAGAGCTGGGTGAACGGCTCCCACCCGAAGGCCTCCTGGAGCTGGGGCGGGAGAGAAGGGGCAGAAAACGTATCACGTTTGTGAAATACCTGCAGCAGACATATTCATAAGCACATTTCCTTCATAGTGATTTCTTCCCCATAGTCCTCCATTAGCTTCACTCCATTATCTGCCCCCAATGCCCCATCCTGCCCCTGCACATAAATGCACCCCCACTGGCTCAGTCTACCTCTGAGCCCCTGAATCTAGCAGGGGCTTCATGGGAATCTCATGTCTGAAAAGAATTAAGTACTCAATAAATGCCAGTTATTATTATCATCTGTAACTTTTAAAAGTGGTACCCCACATCCTAAGTATTTTCCTAGGCATCAGACAGGTTTGAGCTGAACTGAGATGAGAAACTTTTATTTACATCTTAAGTATTTGGCTCATTGGGTTCCTTGGGCCTTAGGTGTGAAAAGTATGAGTATAAAAAATGAACAAATGGATTTCCCAAGTGGATGGTAGAGAGTTGCTGAGAGATGCATGTGTGTGGAGTTATAAAGCCCCATAGCACGGTTGGGATTCAAAGGTGTCTGTCCCCGTGGGGCTGGATTGATTTCCTGGAAAGTGCCTTATTGAGGAAGTACTATGTTCTGGGTGCTGAAGCTATAAAGATATAAGTAGACAGTCCCTGCCCTTCACAATGGAGCAGACAGATATGTGAGTAGGTAAAAAAAAAAAAAAATCTGGGAACTTCTAATCCTTGTTTTTTTATAGTCAGCTCAGACCTGAGACTATTTTCAGTGCTGCTACTATGACGCCTTTGGGGCAGAACCAGAAAGCAGCAGGTGTGTCACAAGGGGCTGAGAATGAGAGAGATGCATCCTGCAGAGCGGGGTGGCCCACATACTCAGCTGTGATTATAGATCTAGAATTAGCCAGGATATGGGGTTTCCCAGACCATCCCCTTGACAGAGAAGACTTCTCTAACCCTGGGGTGTAAAAGCCCGGGGACAGGCACTGCCTTCAGGCCGAGCCTCCCTCGCACCTCACTGGTGCCCTCTCTGCTTATCTGCTCTCACTGCCGTGGCTTCGGAGCATCCTGCTCCCAACCATTACTTAATGCATCAAGTATCACGGATTAAACAAGTATCACGGATACGGGTCTGAGGGCGTCTTCCTGTCCTGAGGCGGAACCTGACTCTTAGATGATGGTGTCTCCGTAGTTGTTGCAAAATGATACCCATGGTGAGTGGGTAGGTGGGCAGGGCAGATTTAGGGCTTGAACTTACACTTTAGTGGCAACCTACCACCTCCGGTGTGTCCCTGTAACCCTTAGACTGGCTGGCTGAGAATACAGATTGGCACGGTGCAAACTCACCTCACTGATGGGAACTGTCTCTGTCCACTCTTTGGAAAATGAGTGAGGGGGAAAAAGCAGAGAAGGTATGGAAGGCAGAAGCCTGAGACTTGTCACCGACTTGATTTTAGGTTCTGGGTCCGTGATATAACTGTATGATAACAGGCAGCTTAAACCCTTTATCTCAGTGTGTGCCTCTGTGAAGCGTGGGCCACACCGCTCCTCTCCATGGGGCTGTGGCAGCAGCAGAGGGGATCTGATGGGGGGTACAACTCTGACAGCTGAAAACACTAAAAATCAGAGCAGGACCGGGCAGGGCAAGGATATGTGCTTATGTCACGGGAGGCTGAGCTGCTTGAGGACTGAGGTGTTCTGCTCTCCCACTGGGTTGGCTGGATATTTATTTGTTCATCCTAAAAATACTTCGGTTCAAGTCTGAGAATCTGGCTAACATATTTATCTCCTATGACGCCATCTCGTCATGGGCTTTTCCCACGGACACCCCACTGTTGTCACAGGGGGATGCAGCATGTGCTTGACGCAGGAGCTGAGGACAGGAAAAAAGCGAAGTGGCATGGGGAGCCCTGGCCCGGGACCCGAGGCCAAAGCGGTGGGCGGCAGGGCTGTGACCCAGTCTCAGGGGTGTCTGACTCAGAGCTTGTGCTCTTGCTCAACATCCTACAGGCTCTACTTCTCTCTACTTGTTTTTTTTTCCTAATACCTTTCCTTTCCTCTTACTTCTCATCACAAAATCAAAGAGGTGAGTGGGACAGGCCATTATCTCCATGTAGAGATGTATAGCCTGAGAAGCACCACTGTGCAGCCCAGTCCCTTGTCCAGGGCAGGCAGTGGGTCAGGCTGGTGGGGTGGTGAAGGAGCTGGAGAGCTCCGGGATCTGGGAGGCGCCCCCCCCACCCCCGAACTCCTGCTCAGTACCTGTAGGTACGTTTCCAGGGCTGTCCACACATTCCAGTCATGCAGGGGGGCTCCCTTGCCCAGGTGCACTTTGATCCTCTTCTCTCGTTCTGCACAGCTCAGAGCGGGGTGGGCCTGGGCCCTGGGGATGTCCAGGACCGTCTCGTGCACATACACGGACCAGAGGTTGCAAGTGGCCTCCGTGGTATTGGGGGGGAACTCCTACCCATGCTGCTGCTGGTTGTGGCCCAGCTCGTGGATGGGCCCCCACAGACCTCTGCTTCTTATGCCCGTCTCACTAAGGAGGTCCTGCACCGACTGCAGGTGGCACATGATGGGGTAGCCTGCGTGCATCCAGCCTGGGGGCACAAAGGAAGAGGTGAGGCTTGTGGTGGGGGGACACCCAAACCTATCTCCCCTCACTCCTACCCCCGGTGTGACTTCCTCACTCTCCTGGGAGCCCCTAATAATTCCAGAATCTCGGTGCTGAGTGGAGAGAACATGGTTTCCTTTAACTCGGTCAGGAACTGCGAGGTCACTGGCAGCCTTCCCAGCCTCTCACAGCAGGCAGGCCCTCCTCTCCATCCTGGCCACCACCCTGGCCGCTCTGCACGGGCATCCTCGCTGTAACTCGGTGCTTCGTTTTGTGCGGGTTTCCTTCGAGCAAGTCTGTGCTGTTATGTCCTATGTCTGGATTTGAGATCCCTGAGGCCAGGACAGAGCCATTCCTTCTGCCACATAGACTACTGCTGTCCAGATATACACTCTTTAGCAGAGATAAGCTTGCTCTTTTTTAAAGATGAGAAAACTTGAGATCCAGAAGAATATTCTCCATGTCAGAAGCAATTTCCTTATTTTTCCTGAGATGCACTTCTTCCCTCACACCACTCAATGCTCAGTGCAAACCTCCTTACTCCCTTTCATTGCCGACTCTGATCTAAGTCTAAGGGAAATATTTCTGTTTTACCCTCTTCTTGAAACAACAGAGATGGCCCATTGCTCTCTGTGAACTAGTTCTACTGTCCTGTGAAATCTCACCTTGTAGACGTAACTGATTCACTTCACCTGTAACCATCTTTGCATCCCCCCCCGTCAAGATCCATGTCTTTTATGTCTTTTTTCCTTTCCTGGTGAAATTATGCCTTACACATACTGCACTTAAAAACAGATAAAATAGTAAATCAATAGTGTCCACTGCCTGGGAGCATGCCCTCGAACACCCACCGGCTGAGAGCTGCACGTCAGCAACGATTCTCTCGGGACGGCAGAAGGGGAAAGGCCGGGCCGCCAGCCTGGCGATCGCCCGCATCATGTCGTCCCAGAGGCAGAGCAGCGGCTCGGGATCGGCCAGGGCCCGCAGGTCTGCAGTTGGCAGCGTCAGGATGACGTTGTCTGTGGCCAGCTCTCCCCAGGGAGCTGGGCTCTCCCCCACACAGCTCCTCCACTCCTCCACTGATGTCTTACCTGGGAATCAAGGTCATGGACCTGTCACCCACTTCCCTTGAGCTGAAAAATGCCACCTGAGCTCCCAGAGGACGACACTGCAACAGTGAACAGTCATCATGTGGTTCTGCACACTCCGAACTGGGGACAGGCCTTATTCCACCCGGAGTCTGCAGGACACGGGGTGTTCTGTATTTCCTGCCTCCACTGCCATGGCGAACACATCTTCCTCCTCCCGTCTCCCGCCCTGACCCCTGCTGAGCAACCAGCCCACAACCACTGTGCATCCCTAGTCCTCCTCGACGTTCAGGCCACTTACCCAGCTTGTAGTACGGGGCAGGCACGGCCCTTTTGACGGTGACAGACACAGGGCCCAGCTTACTGCCCTTGGGCACAATGACATAGAGAAGGCCACCCCAGAGGCAGGAGACCGACCTTTTGGTCCTGTCCATTAAGCACTGGTGAGTCACCACCGGAGCTCGAGACAGCTTGCTGGCCTTGGTTAAGTCATCGGTGTGGCAGCCAATCTGGACCTGGGGAGGTGATTCCACCACACATCAGAGGAACCAGGTTGTGTGGCGTGTGCGGGGGAGTTGTGTGCGATGCTGTGTGGATGGCAGGTATTAGGAAAGCTCCATCTTCCCCTATCTGTGAACTATGCACGGAAGCATCAAATGTTAGCATTTCAAAAGTCATATGGACTGAAGGCTAGACGTAGAATCATGTAGAATGACGTAGAATGGTTTTTCCAGGGATTTAACAGCTCCACAATGGATCATTGTCAGACCAGGTATAACCCTGAGGCTGATACTGACTGGTGCCCCTGGGTGCCTCTGTGCCAGGCAGAGTCCTAGGCTCTCCTGCCAGGGCTGAAACCAGGGTAGTGATTCTGATCCTGGGAATGAGTCGGAGGGGATCCTGCTCTCCCTCTGGGCACACACAAGACGCCCACCCGCCCAGGAGGAGGGGTCTGGCCTGAGAGGAGGAGTGATTCTTCCTTCCACCTTTGCCCAGGGCCCCCCTTCCTGGTCAGATGGTCTGGGTGCTGTCTGTCTGAGTCCTCAGGTTGCTTTCCTTGGGTTTAATGTAAATGAGCTCCTGGAAGGATGCTGATGCAAGAGACCCTAACTTGGTAGGCAGCGAGCCTCGGAATTGAGCAAAAACTTTAAATTCTGCATGTAAGGCCTATTTTGAATTGGAATAAGTATACCCTTCAGGTGTCAAGGTAAAGAGGTAAAACTCAGCAAGGGCTTGTGCCCCACAGAAGTGGGTGAGGGTCTGAATATGCAGTGGCCACTGCCTCGTGCATCCCTGCGGGCAGGTAAAAGCCACATGGGGAAACCTGAAGCAAGGCTTTGAGTGCTGGATCTGCTGCAGGAGCCCTGGCATCTTCAGTGCCCCCCTCAGCTTTCCTGAAATTGAGCTGCTTCGTCTGTGACACCTGTAATATGGGCAGAACCACCACTGCCTGGACTCCTGGTGGTACCGCCATTGCCCCGAGCTGGAGGAGGACGCAGCCGCTCTGCGCTTTGGGGTGTCGGCCGTGGTGTTCTGGCCTTACCTTCAGGCCAGCAGACACCGCAGCTTCAGGCAGTGAGACTTCGGCATTTTGTCCGTTTAGGAGGTAGAGTCCAGTACTCACCCAGGAATCACCATGGCCTGGCAAAAGCCACAGGGAAGCCTGAGTTCTTTCCCAGGTGCCTGCCGTCCACCTGGAGCCTCGCAGCCCGCCCAGAGGTACAGCCACTGCCCTGTACCCCGCAGCTCACCCAGGCTCCCGGTGCTCAGCCCACCTAAACCCTAAGCAGAAACCCAACCCCCCTTCTTGAAAGTTCCTGGTGGAGAATGCAGCTGGCCTGCCTGAGCTTCAGTCCCTGCCATATCCACCTTCCCCGGGTCCCAGCGCTCTGGGCATACTCCTTCCTCCATACCTGCACTGCTTCCACTGATCTCTACGGTGATGGGCTGTTCCGAGGGGTTCAGGCTGGAGTTGCAGGTCCCAGTCACCAGTCCCTGAGCCAGCTGGGAGCAGTCAGTCCCAGAGCGTGCCAGCTCTGTGGCCAGGCAGAGCACGGCAGCCTCGCAGGAATCCCTGGCCACTGGCTTTTCCCAGCTCACGGTTGGGACGCCCGACCGACGCAGCATCTTCCTCAGGAGTTGGTGCAAGGATAGGTAGGCAGGGACCCCCTCTGCAGGAATCTGTAGGAAGGCTGCACCATCTACACCCAGCTTTGCCAGCCAGCTCTTTTCCAAGTTCCTATCCCTGTGGTTCAGGACAGCTTGGAATTCAGACAGCGCCTTGCGGAAGTGGTAGCTCCGCATCTCGGGGGTAGGGACAGGGAAACAGCCTGGGTCAAGAGTTGAAGCTAGGATGCTGAGGCCGAAGCAGTTGAGGATGACATTGCCAGGGAAACCAGACAAGGTGGAGCGGCCTGGGTTCTGGGAGGCCCACCACCAGGCCTGGCCCCCGATCAGTAAGCCCCCACCCTCAGCCACAAACTCCTGCAGTTGCTTAGCCTCCTTGTCACTGTAAGCCACACAGCAGTAGACACGCAAGTCACCTATCAGACAAGGCTCCAGGCTGCACCCCAGCCCGTGCTCTGACAGCAGGCCACACAGGTTTTTTAGACTTGTGTTTACCCCGACTTTGCCTGTCTGGCCTCTGGCCAGCCAGTGGACAGCGTTGAGCAAAAAGGGCGCCATCTTGGGAGCACAGAGCATGCCCTCGTGGGCAGCCAAGACGACCCGGCCCCGGCCATAGCGGGCAGCTCCCAGGAAGCAGCCAAGCGAGGCATCTAACCCCAGCGGGAAGGCCAGGGCCCCGTGCACCAGCAGCTGCGAGGGGATTCCCCCCGTCTTGACGTCCAGCTCAGAGATCCCTTCCAGGAGCTGCTGCTGGTCCTGCCCGAGATCCTGTCCACACCTGGAAAGTGACACGGGGACAAAGTGGCTACAGTCAGTTAATGAACCACCAAAGTGAGCTTAAGTAAAGAAATCTAAGATTATATAGTTCCTGCCAATCTCCTCACTCTATGTACCATTTAGAATTTTAACACATAATACCATTGTTTTATCAAGACTAAGGCATTTTTTCACCTTCTAATATACTGTGGTATATTGTCATTTAATTGGCAGCGTTTGCTCATACTTAATAACATAAAATAATGATGCTTCTTTAATCGGTGTTGTCATGGATTTGATGAAATACTGAAGAGTAAGGGAGTGAGTGGCCTTATGTGTACATCTTACCTTTAAGATTTCCATTTAATCAGTCAATAGGCACCCAAGGAATTTCAGGTATACCAGAATGATAATCAAAAGATCTGAGTAAAAGTTTGGCCCCATTTGCCATTCTAGAGATTTATGCAGCACAAATGAATGATTTTACTGAGAATCTATTATGTGTCAGGTAGTTTTAGAAGCTTGGATATACTTGTGAAGCCAGTAGTTAAAATGTCTGCTTGTGGAGTTTATGTTTTAGTATGGGTGTGTGTATAGGTATGTGTGAGTGGAAATGGGCAATAAACTGAATCAGTTTAAAGGGGCTCAGGAATGCAGGGGTTCAGCAGGGTTGAAATTTTAAACAAGGTCATCAGGATAGATGACCCCTGAAGTGACATTTGAGCTGAGAGTCGCAGAAGATGAGTTAATCAGCCATCAGAAACCCAAGAAAGGCCCAGTCCAGGCCAAGGAAACAGCCAATGCAAAGGCTTTTGGGTAGAAGTGTGCCTGGTAATGTCTGCAGAACAGAAAGGAGGCCTGTGTGGTTGCAGCAGAGTGGAATCAGAGGCCAGAGGAGTGATGGGGAGGCCAGATGATGTTTAAGCCGACCGTAAGCAAGGAAATGAAGACATTCACAGCGTTTGGCCACATTGTCTAGGAGTATGAGTCCTCAATCTACAGAAAAACGTACTGATTCATCTGGTATCATTCACATACATTTGCCCTTGGGGACCTACCCCAGCGCCCCAGCCACTGTCTATAATTTGACCCCAGCCCCTGGCCAGAGTGACTCGAGAGTGGGCATGTGGGGGTGGGCTAGTGGTAAAGCCTGGAACTGGGACTCCTGTTACTGGGAAAGAGGCTTTATCACTCTGAGGTCATGACACGTAAGGACCCTGTGAGCCTAGGGCTAAGGGCCACCTTACAGTGCATGGAGATGCCAGGGGATGAGGCCAGCACAGAAGACAGAGTCTGGGAGGCAGGGGCAGCTCACATTATGAGGGACCTGGTCTCCTCTGGAATTTTCAGTTAGTCCAACAAGAATGTGTTGACCTCTGTTCCATTTATATATATAGGTTTATAAATTAATGCACTGGCATTGTGGATTATATATTTTCCTGCTCTGAGGATGCTTATGGTGAATCTGTCTCTCTAACTACATCTCACTCTGGAGAATCTGCTACACTATGTGGGGATCTCAACCTGAACTGAGAGCTGAGGAGAAGGCACCAAGGGAGGAAGAGGGGGAGTGTGGGGGGTTTACATCCAACTGCAGCTGAGCGCACATATGACGCCATCGCTTTCTGAGCGGTTTATACAGCAGCGTGAGGACAGCAGTGATGGGAGAGGTCAGTGGGAAGTGAGCTGCTGTCTGTTATATTCACGGTGGGTAACTGACTTATCTCACCTGAGGAGCTGGGATCCCCATTTGTTTTATTCACTCTGAAATCTCCTTTTTTAGGCCCCTCTCTCTCCCATTTTATTGAACATATATTCCCAGGAATTTCTTTTATTGCTTGAAGCATCCTCAGGGAATCTGCTTCTGTTCATTCGTCACATTTTTCTTCCAGGTGTGACTGATTCTTTCCATACTAAATTTCTCTCATATTTCCATTTTCAGTTTATAATAGCAATTTTTTTTTGAGAGGGCATCTCTCATATTTATTGATCAAATGGTTGTTAACAACAATAAAATTCTGTATAGGGGAGTCAGTGCTCAATGCACAATCATTAATCCATCTCAAGCCTAATTCTTGTCAGTTTCCAGTCTTCTGAAGCATAATGAACAAGTTCTTACCTGGTGAACAAATTCTTACATAGTGAATAAGTTCTTACATGGTGAACAGTACAAGGGCAGTCATTACAGAAACTTTTGGTTTTGATCACGTATTATGAACTATAAACAATCAGGTCAAATATGAATATTTGTTTGATTTTTATACTTGATTTATATGTGGATCCCACATTTCTCCCTTTATTATTATTATTATTTTTATTTTTAATAAAATGCTGAAGTGGTAGGTAGATGCAAGATAAAGGTAGAAAACATAGTTTAGTGCTGTAAGAAGGCAAATGTAGATGATCAGATGATCAGGTGTGTGCCTATGGACTAAGTATTAATCCAGGCTAGACAAGGGCAGCAAGACATCCACGGATGCAGAAGATTTCTCTCAAAGCAGGGGGGGTGAGGTTCTGAGCCTCACCTCTGTTGATCCCCAAATTCTCACCTGATGGCCCCCCTGCGACTGTGCCTGTCTTAGGTTGTTCCTCCCTTGAGGAATCTTACCCGTCTCTGGCTAACCAGTCATCTTCCGGGGCCATACAGGGAAATGTAAAGTTGGTAAGTGAGAGAGAAGCCATATTGTTTGCAAAGGTTAGCTTTTTACTTCTTTGCAGATTTATGCCCTGTGGCTTCTATGCCCAGCACTTGTCTCGAGGTATCTTTACCACCTGGAGGAATTATGATACTCGGTAAATTCGATATGAGGCACGAATTCTATTTAAGGGTTGTAATTAGGAAGGAAGAAGAAAAGCTATAGATGTAGCATATGAAGGAAACTTGGGAGGATTGATTATTTCTTTGACATATCTTCTTGTATAGTACCTTAAGTATGTATAGGTTTTAAACTACTAACTAATTTGCACACACATATTAACATAATAGGAATACGGTGACATAAACAAAGCAAATCTATAATTACCAGCCATCTCCAGTGAAGCCAAGAAAACCATTTAGGCACCCTAGGCATTTGTGAAAATTTATCTATGATATGATGGATATTTTCCAACTGTACTTGAACCATCAGACAAATTAAAGCAGCCCATTTCTGGGATCTGTTCACATCCCATATGTTCTTTTAACCATAGATAGTCTATAGTCATGAGATTTTGGGGTGCTACAACTTGCACCCCTCCCAACTCCTGGTTGAGTTCCAACAGTACAGATCCAGTCAAATTCGTTGTCTCACTGTATGCACATGCCAGCCTAGACATCTCCCTCCTCCTTCTTATGGCAAGTCCAGGAGACGGTGGGCTGGATGCAGCCACAACCGCAGCATCGTCCGGATCCCTGTGGAGGCTTTTTGATGATCATCCCCCGGCACGAGTCCTCCAGAGAGTGCTGATGCCGGAAGCTCCTCCTCATATCGTATCTTAGTTCATTTTCTGGGTATCCAAGCTAGGCCTTGATCTTCTGCGTAGAAACAAACAGACCCTTTGCCCACACTTTGACATGCCCTCTATACCACTGTGCAGAACTCATTGGAGGTCAGCACACAGTAACTGCTTTTTTTTTTTTTTTTTAATTAAGAGAAAGGAATATTATCAGAAAAGAGTACCTCCATAGCTGATCATCTGACACCCTTTAAGTGATCAACATTAAGGATATTTAAAGCATGCGTTGATCTTTGATTTACCAATAGTTTTATCCTGTTAAGGAGTAATCCCCCTTTTCTTTCTTTCTTTCTTTTTTTTTTTTAAATTTTTAATCTACACTTACCTGAAGAATACTATGTTTACTATGCTCTCCCCTATATCAGGTCCCCCCTAACAACCACATTACGGTTACTGTCCATCAGCTTAGCAAAATGTTGTAGAGTCACTACTTGTCCTCTCTGTGTTGTGCAGCCCACCCTCCCCTTTCTCCCTCCCCCCCATGCATGCTAATCTTAATACCCCCCTTCTTCTTCCCCCCCCTTATCCCTCCCTGCCCACCCATCCTCCCCAGTTCCTTTCCCTTTGGTACCTGTTAGTCCATTTTTGGGTTCTGTAATTCTGCTGCTGTTTTGTTCCTTCAGTTTTTCCTTTGTTCCTATACTCCTCAGATGAGTGAAATCATTTGGTATTTCTCTTTCTCCGCTTGGCTTATTTCACTGAGCATAATACTCTCCAGCTCCATCCATGTTGCTGCAAATGGTTGGATTTTTCCACTTCTTATGGCTGAGTAGTATTCCATTGTGTATATGTACCACATCTTCTTTATCCATTCATCTACCGATGGACATTTAGGTTGCTTCCAATTCTTGGCTATTGTAAATAGTGCTGCGATAAACATAGGAGTGCATCTGTCTTTCTCAAACTTGATTGCTGCGTTCTTAGGGTAAATTCCTAGGAGTGGAATTCCTGGGTCAAATGGTAGGTCTGTTTTGAGCATTTTGATGCACCTCCATACTGCTTTCCACAATGGTTGAACTAATTTACATTCCCACCAGCAGTGTAGGAGGGTTCCCCTTTCTCCACAGCCTCGCCAACATTTGTTGTTGTTTGTCTTTTGGATGGCAGCTATCCTTACTGGTGTGAGGTGATACCTCATTGTAGTTTTAATTTGCATTTCTCTGATAATTAGCGATGTGGAGCATCTTTTCATGTGTCTCTTGGCCATCTGTATTTCTTTTTTGGAGAACTGTCTGTTCAGTTCCTCTGCCCATTTTTTAATTGGGTTATTTGTTTTTTGTTTGTTGAGGCGTGTGAGCTCTTTATATATTCTGGACGTCAAGCCTTTATCAGATCTGTCATTTTCAAATATATTCTCCCATACTGTAGGGTTCCTTTTTGTTCTATTGATGGTGTCTTTCGCTGTACAGAAGCTTTTCAGCTTAATGTAGTCCCACTTGCTCATTTTTGCTGTTGTTTTCCTTGCCCGGGGAGATATGTTCAAGAAGAGATCACTCATGTTTATGTCTAAGAGGTTTTTGCCTATGT